TGCTGCTGCTGCTGCTGCTGCTGCTGCTGCTGCTGCTGCTGCTGCTGCTGCTGCTGCTGCGCGAGTGGCCTCATGGCCTCTGCTGGAGCGCGGGGCTGCTGCTGCTGCTGCTGCTGCAGGGGGGGAGAGCCGGAAAAAGGAGAAGCAGCGGCTGCGGCTGGGGATTGGAGTGCTGCTGGGGACTCCGGGGCGGCTGCAGGACCACTTGAGCAGCACCAGCAGCTTGCGGCTGCTGCCGCTGCTGTGTCTGCTGCTGGACGAAGCAGACCGGCTGCTGGACTTGGGCTTTGAGGCGAAGTTGCGGTGTATATACACCGCGTGCCTCAACAAGATCCACCAGGAGCAGCAGCTGCTGCAGCTCCGCCGAGAGGCTGCGGACGAATGCGCCGCCCTGCAGCAGCAGCAGCAGCAGCAGCAGCAGCAGCAGGGAGAAGCCGAGGGCGACAGTGACGATGAGCAGCAGCAGCTGCAGCGGCTGCGCCGGCTGGAGACGGAGCACGAGGGCGCGGACGAACCCGCAGCCGCAGCCACCAGTCCCACTACCAGCAGCAGCAGCAGCAGCAGCAGCAGCAGCAGCAGCAGCAGCAGCAGCAGCAGCAGCGAGGCCCCGTTTCAAGTGGCAATGGCCTCAGCCACGCTGACCCCCTCAGTGCAGCGGCTCGCAGCTTTTTGTCTTCGCCGAAAGCCGCAGTGGGTGTCTTTGGCTCAGGCTGAGACGGGGGAGGCCCGCATGGCGCAGGTGCAGCGGCTGCTGCAGCGGACCTTCAAGCAGCAGCAGCAGCAGCAGCAGCAGCAGCAGCAGCGGGAGCAGCAGGAGCCGGAGGAGGGGGGAGAGGGGGGCGGGGAGCAGCGGGAGCTGCAGCGGCAAGAGCCGCTGACCCCGGAGCTCGAACGGAAGATCATTGGCCGGCTTTGCTGCTGCAGCATGCCTGCTGCTGCTGCTGCTGCTGCTGCTGACAGCAGCAGCAGCGAGCCGGGGGCGCTGCCGGCCTTCGACGTGCCGCCGCAGCTGCAGCAGTTCTTCCTCGTCTGCAGCCCGCGGCTGCGGCTGCTGCCGCTGCTGTCCTTTTTGCTGGCAGCAGAAGCAAACAAGAGGAAGTTAGTTGTCTTCTTGTCTTGCTGCGACCACGTGGAGTTCCTTTACCAGCTGCTGCTGCGGCTGCGCTGGCCGCTGCTGCTGCAGCACGACCGGCAGCAGCGCCAGCGCATGCAGCAGCAGCGCCAGCTGCTGCAGAAGCTGCATCTGCAGCAGCGCGAGCAGCAGCAGCACCTGCAGCGGATCGCCGCAGGCATCAAGCAGCACAAAAAAAACGCAACCAAGCAGCAGCAGCAGCACGCCCCAACAGCAGCAGCAGCAGCAGCAGCAGCAGCAGAAGAGGAAGATGAACAGCAAAATGATGAGCTAGCTGATGATGATCTTGGCCATGAAGACCCTGGACTGTGGGGCCCTTTCGTGCTGCAGAGTCTTGAGGTTTTTAAAATCCACGGGGCTATGAACAGAGACGACAGGTGCGGGGCGTTGCTGCTGCAGCAGCAGCAGCAGCAGCAACTGCAGCAGCAGCAGCAGCAACTGCAGCAGCAGCAGCAGTGCTGAGATAGGAACTCCAAGCAGAACTTTAAGCAGCAAGCTGACACAGTGCAGGGTGCAGTTGGCTGCTCCGTAGCTGCTGGCCGCCACGCGCAAACGTGCAGGGCTTAGGGTTTAGGGAATAGGGTTTAGGGTTTAGGGTTTAGGGTTTAGGGTTTAGATTTTGTGCGCAGAATCGGGTGCATGGATGAATTTACAAAACTTACCGGGGAGGGGGCGGTGCTGCTCTCGACAGACGTAGCGGCCAGGGGCCTGAACCTGCCCGAGGTAAACCCTAAACCCTAAACCCTAAACCCTAAACCCTAAACCCTTTCTTCGTGGCCCTTCGTTTTGCGGGGGCCGTTGACAGCGCGTGCGGCTGGCGGCTTCGGGCCGCAGTTTGCGATCCTGGCCTCAGGCCTCAGACTCAGTGGCCAGGGTTTAGGGTTTAGGGTTTAGGGTTTAGGGTTTAGGGTTTAGGGTTTGGGCGCAGGTGGACTGGATACTGCAGTTCGAACCCCCGCAGCAACTCGAGGAGTACGTACACCGCATCGGCCGCACGGCGCGCCTCGGCAAACAGGGGCGGGCGCTGCTGTTTCTGTTGGAGAGCGAGAGAGGTACCTAAACCCTAAACCCTAAACCCTAAACCCTAAACCCTAGGCCGTAGCTGCGCAAGCATGCCTGTGAGCGCTGAAGCGTCAGAAGCAGGTGAGGAGCTGCTGCTGCTCTCCCGCTGCCTTCAGTGCTGCTGCGGCCTTTGTGGGGGCCTTGGCCAAGGGCTGCTTTAGGGTTTAGGGTTTAGGGTTTAGGGTTTAGGGTTTGGCGCCGCAGAGTACGTCGACTACCTGGCCTCCCGCGGCCTTAAACTCAACGAGCTGTCCACCGCCCGACTCTGCGAGTCGCTGCTGCAGAGGGCACCCCCCAACGTGGGCC